TTTTAAGAACCCGTGATACGGGTTGTTAGTAAATAAAATTAAAAAAAAAACCGCGTATAGAAAAGCCTAGAAATTTCTTTAAAATAGAAAAACCTAGAAAAAGACGTAGTTGACTAATAACTACTATTAAAAGTTATTAAAAGTTTATTAATTTTTTTTTTTTTTTTAATCTTATATTTGTTAAATGCTTTTTTAAGGTTCTTTCTTTTTTAATGATCATGGTTCTTTCAAACATCAGTATCTTATGTTTAATGTTTATCTGATAAATAATATAATTGTAATAATTGATATATTATACTCATTTATTATTAAATTTTTGTTGTTATTATCATTAAAATATTTTCTCTAAGAAGCACTATGGTTATATATAAATGAATATAGACCACCAGCCACCGGCCACCCACCAGCCACCGGCCACCAGCTAGTGTAAGTTATTGAAATATATTTTTACTCTTACCTTACAATTAATTCGCATTAAAAATTTTGGACCTTAACCTTAATCATCCCATATAAGTAGCATCTAGCTAAAGAAAATATGTTATGACTATTTCAAAATAGTACTAATAATTGATTTCATTAAAATAATTATTAATACTATAAGTAATACTGACTGTATTTCTGTATGAGTTCGCGCACTACTGTATTACTTATATTATTAATAAATACTATAAGTAATACTGACTGTATTTTTGTATGAGTTCGTGCACGACTGTATTACTTATAGTATTAATAAGTAATACATTAGTATAGTATCAAAAATTTGATACACAAATTTTTGCAAGATTGTACCCTACGGGCATTTGTTTTTAAAAGTTACGTTCTAAATGTCTTTTAAACGTTCTTTACATAAGAATGTTTAAAAGACGTTTAAAAGACATTTAAAATACATTTAGAATGTAACTTTTAAAAGCAAATACCCACTTGGTAAGGATTGATTTTTCTGATATTTTTTTCAGACACTTAGGATCGATTACAAAATAGTTAGATTAGTTTTTTTTATTAACATAAGGTAGGCCAAAATTTGCTATATAATTTATAACTAGCTGAAATTAAAAAGGTTTTGATTTTTTAATAATAACCAATATATATGCCTATATAAAACCAATATATATATATATATATATATATATATATATATATATATATATATATATATATATATATATATATATATATATATATATATATATATATATATATATATATATATATATATATATATCAGGGTTGGAAAAAACCCAGGGTTTTTTAAAAAAACTCAACCCATATGGGTTTTTTTGGGTTTTTTTGGGTTTTATGGGTTTTTTGGATTTTTTTAAAAATCGATCAAAATACCAAATTTTTATAATTGTATGAGTACAATAATTTTTTTTTTAATTTCATAAATTCACCTCCCTATTGCTCCAATGACCATTTCAGTCAAGGGAGCAACTCATTTTTAAAAAATATTTTGTCTCAATCCTTAACATTACCATTTTTACTAACAACCAATAACAACTAAAATTTTTAAACAAAGGCGCTGTGTGGAGAAAAAGATTAAGACAGTAATTTCAGCAGAAGTAATTTGAACCCCAACCTTCTGGTTGCGAGCCAAATGTTTTACTACTAGTCTACTAGCACATTTTACCTATAGTGCAAAAAGGGACTCCATCAACTATAAATGATGTTAATTAATTGCTCTAAATTAAAAACATGTTTAGAATATTTTTGACTAAAAAAAAATCAGTGTAAAAATTATGACAATTAAGTTATTCAAAGTTGGTAAGACAATATAAATGTTGCAAACTAGTTTTTTTTACTAACATGTTCAACATATCATTTCAAAAACTTTTTTGCACAAGTTTACAACATGTAATCAACAAGTTTGCAACATGATGTTGCAACCTTATAAGTTATTATCAATCAGAATGACTATGAACACTTTTTAAACATTTTTGTATCATAGAAGAAAACTGCTAGCCTAATCACTACATTTTTTTAAATCAGAACATTATACTGTCCAGCTTCCTGGAAAAGTTATCGGCCTGATCAACTGGACTGGCAAAAAATGGATTTTTGCCTAAACTTTGTTTCTTAAAATATCTAAAATAAATTTGTTAAGAACCATTACAGTGTCTTCGCCACCAAGTTTTTTTTTTCCATTTGCATTGCAAAACTGAGCCGGAAGATGTTTTACCGGCTCAGTTTTGCAATGCAAATTGCAAACTGAATCAAAGTAACACATTTTAGCTCTATTGTCTGTGTGCTTCTTCACCTTTTAGCAACTTGATACTGATGTTAATTTTCAACCCGCTGTTCATAGTCACCCCTGTTGGTGGTACATGTTGTAAACTTGTAGCTGATGCAAAATATTCAAAACCTGTCAAAAGACAGATGAGCACGAGTGTCATTTTTGCCAACAAATCTTGTCCTTGTGAAATGCATTCAAGTTTTCAACATGTTCTCTCGTTGAATGAGCAAACATGTTGCAAACTTGCTTGCCCATAACTTAATTTTTTTTAAGTTTTAAAGTTGTATGCACTTAAGGACAAATCTAGTAAACTGTAGCATTTTTTTTCTTGCCTGACAACTTTCCATTTCTAAACTGTAAATAAAGTTTAATAATTTTTATATACAGTATTTTGCTTGTGGCTTTGTATTTTTTTTTTTTTTTTTTTTTGCAGTTTACAACATAAGCTTTAAAAAATAAAAGATCAAATACCAATATAAAGGAATATAGACATTCGAGAGGAGAATAAAGATACTAAATAATTAGTAATGTCTTGAAATTTAGTTTATAGAATGATTTTTATTTCCTTTATAAGTATTTAACTAATTTAATGTTTTAATACATATTTCAATAACATTTATAATAACTTGTTAAATGTTTAAAAAAAAATAATAAATAACTAACTTGCTACAAAAACAGATTGATCGATTTTGGGTATATTCTAAAGACCAGGGTTTTTTTGGGTTGGGTTTTTTTGGGTTGGTTTTTTTTGCCAACCCTGATATATATAGGCAATCCCGTGAGAGTGACTGTTTTAACATTTGACATTCTTTAAGCTTTTAAAAATGAACAGAAAATGGAAATAAATTGAAATTTTCTAGAAATATGAAATACTATCTTTTAACTTAGTATGCAAAAGTTACAGCATTAAAGTTTTAAACAATTTTCAAAAATTAACTATAAGTAGCTTACTTTTTACCACTTCTGAACAAAACAACTTTGCTTTATAGGAAATATATTTTAACTGACAATGAGGTTTGGAGATATACTTTATAGTTTGCACTCTGCCAAAGCATTTAATATTTCAAGTTTTGTCCTAAAATCGGCTTTGTGAACCATTGTTATGTGTTTCATGACAGAATTGAAATTCCAATGGAGATTCACCTGCCTCACTCATTTTACATTATTATTGTGATATTGTTTTCTGCTATCGTTCCTCAACAATTTTATTTCTATATCAAGACTAGGTGCAACAAGCTTAGCTTCATTCAACATTGCTTTCCAACTCTCACGAATAGCTGATAATTGTGAAAGTAAGCTTTCTATATTTGAAACTTCGATACCTTAAGCCGCGTTACCGGCTTGAATAGCTTTGTTGGAAATATCAATAGAAATTAATATTCTGTGCCACACAACTGACATTATAATGCAGGTAAAGGTACTAATAGAAGTATTAGCTCCACTAATCCTTATTCTAGTTTTTGGAGTAAGATTTAGCTGGAGCAAGTCTTCCAAAGCCAAACTTCCAAAACCAACTTACTCCTGGAATTTAACAAATGGTTTAACACTCTCTACTCGATCTGATCAACTTTTGCCAATCATGCTATAAAAATAAAATTTTTTTTTTGGACTACAACTAAAAAATGGGAATTGTTTGCATATATCCGGAGTAGGTTATAGTTTCCGAAATACCTTTAGCAGCTTCATTACCACATAAGTTAAGTGTGCGGCAGTTATACGAAAAAAACATAGCAGTAAAACACTATTTTTTATTACAACTTGTGGTCTCTTGCATTTCCCTCACATATTTGGCGCATTGTCATAACTTTGAGCCCTACAATCAGCGAGTGGAACTGCATTACTTTCTAACGTGTTTGTAATCATTTGAGCAATTTTAAAACAATTTACTTGTCACTACAATTTACAAGTTTTAAAAATCATTCCACAATTTCAAATAGCGACTCATGGCAAACTAGGTAACGTAAAACAAATGTTGTTTGCTCAACATGTGATGAACCTGTTGTAGAATCTACAATTATTGCGTATTACTTTGTAGAATGTCTTTCTTCCTAAACATGCTGCTTATTTAAGAGGTAATGTACTTGCAGTCTTTTGCCCATTTTTGTGTGAATCAGCTACTTTTGGAACGCGTTCCTTTAGAATAGGATCCCAGTTAAAAATCAACTCAATCAGACCTAAAAAATTTCCATTATTTGATTCACTAATGCGTTGCGAAGATCTCTAAAAAGCAAGGTTCTCTTAAGAAAAAGATAACATCAATAATTTTTCTCAATATTTGGTATCATTTTTCCTACTACACTTTAATTGATGTTTCAATAAAATTATCAATACCGTCTTGCATTGAATAACGTTGTTCTAATTCACGTCATTCTAGAATAGTTAAAAAGTAATAGGCATTCTCTATGCCTATTACTTTTTTCATGATCTGAAATCCTGTTAAATAACTTCCACATCCTGTTAAATAACTTCCAGAATTCGCTCTTCAGCCTTTAGCTGTAGTTAATTCAGATTTGGAAGCCATATTTAGCTTGGAACACACACTGTTCCAAAATACACCGGAAAAATAAAAAATATAAAGAAGCCTTATACTTGCTTCATACAAGACAGTCTCGGGTGCGCTGTTTTGTATTAAAATTTCTAAACTTTAATATAGCTTATGGAAAGTTTTGGTTTTAATCATCATTTAGCAATTTTAAAGAAAACTCAATATGATCTTGTAATAAAATATTTATTTCTGATTGAGAAAGACATTCTACTGTGATGAATCCAATGTCAAGTTTTGTACTTGATTGGTGAAGTGAATCATTACTTAATTTAAAATTTTCTGTAGCACCAGGTCCAGGATCTGATTCAGTATCTAGGTCAATCATATTTTTAAAAGGAAACCAACAAAGTAAGAAATTGTTGGAAAAAAAAATTTAAAATTGCTTATTAAATCAATAAATTATTGTTAATAATATTATTTAAAATCTAAAATGTTTAAGAGATATATAAACTAAAGAAAAGAAATAAAAACTTATATTCATTTTACTCATTTTACGCTTCCATATTTTATAAAGTTTTTTTTATTTTTATTAAACACAAATTAGCAAGTTAGCATTGCATAAGCAAAGACCTACCAATGGCAAATTTTATAATTGCGGTGTAATTTCTTTGTTTCTATTAGTAATTTACTACTACATCGCTTTAAAATATTTAGAAGTGAAAAAAAAATTCACGTCAAAAGACGGTTTGAACTAATGAGAGTTAAAACCGTCAAAACCCTTTAAGTAAATAACAGACAACAAAAAAACTTTGTTTTAATTTGAAATTTTAAATATTTTTTTTGTTTGAAACTTAAATGATTTTTAAGATTTAACCATAAAATTATATTTTGAAAATAAAAAAAAAACTGTTTTACTCTTGAACCCTAACTCTAATCCTAAAAGTAAAGAAATGTTGGTCGTTACTATTTATCAAGCATTTTACGCTGTGATATTAGGCGGTGCTCTGTGAAAAGACCGTCCTTAGAGCACTTAAATAAGTAAAAAATAATAAAAATATAAAAATAAAAAAAACCGAATAATTAAAAATCATGAAATTCTTTTCAATTTAAAAAATTTAATTTAAAAATGTTTTAGCTAATATTAGACGATATTGCGCCAATATCTGAAAACCAGCGTTGGCTTACTTTTGTACCGGAAATGTTGGCCCATTATTGTAACTAAATATTGGTCAAATGTTGATATTGCAATATTGATGCAAAATAGATTATATTGTTGCATTAAATCTTAAAGGACGGTAAAAGAAAGTTACGTTAAGGACGGCTGGAGTATTAAACTTTCCCAAAAAGATACAAAAGTTTATGTAGTTATAACTATTATTAAAAAAAAAAAAGGATATATATAAAACATAAATACTTTTAAATAATTAAATTATATTAAAATTTAGCTTAAAAAATCTTTAATAATAAATCGCGCAATCAATATAACATCAAATCTTTTTTGATGTTATATTGATTGCGGGAAAATATTCTGGTGCGTCAATAAGAATAAAAACTATAGGGTCTCATGTTTTCAATCTTTGTGTTGTAGATGCCTTTAAGTTACAAGTTGTCAGCAATATGGTGGCAAATGTTCGTATTATATCTCAGTACTTTAACAACCGAAATTTTTTGCTATAAAAAAAAAAAAATAGAATAAATGTTTCCAGAAGCTTTTCATTCTCGACTCATTGATGTATGTCGTACAAGATGGATTGTCAGAATTGATGGTCTAGATGTGTTTTTAGAGTTACTTCCTGCTATTCTCAAATGCTATAAGATAATGATAAATAAGGAAGAAAAATCTTTGAATCATGATTTAGTGCGTGATGCAAATAGTTATTTTTTTGCCACTAGTTCTTTTCAGTTTATTGTTACTCTAGTAGTTGTGTCTCGCTCTTTAGAGATAACAAGACCAATTACAAAATAATTTCAATTGCCAAACTTTGACATTTTAGCATCACATGAAAAAGTAACTTTTTACTTGTTGCCTTACAACGACTAAGATCAGACATTGAGCACAGTCATTGTGCTTGGTGTTAATGAGCACAAGCCTCGTATAATAGGAAAACAACTTAATCGAAATAATTCTCCTAGTGAATCAATTAATAAATACTACAAGAATGTTACTAAATTCTTTTTCTTGACCATTTGTCATTTCAGATTCAATTACGTTTCTCTAATAGAAACATTCCCAGTGGGCACCCGACGTCAATTCGACGTCGGATTTACGTACGATTTTCATCAGCGATGTCAAAAGACCTATTCCGACGTTGTTCCGATGTCAGTAAAATGACGTCGGGTGATGTCGTTATCTCAACATCCCCTGACGTCGTTTCGATGTATTTTGACGTTGTTCCGACATCTTGTAAAAGACTTCCAAAAAACGTCGCAGTACTGACATCGATCCAACGTCGATAAAAAGACGTCGGGCAACGTTATAATATTAACGTACTCCGATGTCTTTTGACGTCTTCCGACGTCAATCCAACGTCCTTAAAACGACGTCGGAACAACGTCGTAAGACATCGCTGATGAAAATTTAATCCAAACCCAACAATATGTGTGCAATTGCGCTCTTCAATAAATATGTGAACTAAGCGTGTTTTTTATTAATGGAAAGAAGTTTGAATAATGGTTGATAAAACATCACGAGGTTTTGTATGATGCACTAGCATAGTTTTTTAACTATTAACATTTTCGAGTATACATTTTTTATAATATATAACTATTCGTTTTAATATTTATATAATATTTAAACAAAACTATTTCTTATCAAAGAAATAATTCCCAAATAGCTACAAGTATAAATTACTAAATAAACACATTATTTAATATGTCCCTGTGGTGTAGTGGTAAGCGCGTAGCATTCAGTTTATAATAGACCGAGGCTCGATTCCTGCCTGAGGCAACGTTTTATAGTTTTCAAAAAACACGTTGGATTTACATCGGAATGCCGACGTCGCGCGATGTCAGTTTATCCGACGTCAAATAACATTTCCATTTCCAACGTAAACCCAACGTTGAGATCCGACGTCGCTCGACGTTCGTTCGACGTCGAAATGCCCACTGGGTTGCTGTTTATAATGGGTTTTTTGCAATGCCCACAAACGTTTTAAATGTTTCTGAATGGAGAAAAAATTTTATTCTTTTTTTAAATGAGTACGAGGATAATCTTCTTGAACCACGCTATATCATGACTGAATTAAATTAATGTGGGAAGACTACTAACGTAATTTTAAAGGTACCTTTACAAAGACTCTATCGAAACTCCTTCTCTCATTGAAAAACATACCTTTCCTATTATATTCACTATAATTCAAATTCTTGCAACTATTTCAGTAACAATGTGCACTTGCGAAAGATCAATCTCGGTTATTCGTCGTTTAAAAACTTACCTGCGTAACGCAATGTCACAGAGTTGATTTAATTGTCTTGCTCTAATGCACGTTCATTAAGATATCAAGATTGATGTAAATGAAGTGATTGTTTTGCCAGGAAAAATCCTCTTACGATGCAGCATGTAGATCCAGATCAATTCAGATCCAGTTTAGTTTAGACTATAGCAATAAAAAATAGTTTTTAAATATTTTATACAGTGGTTCTATGTTTAAACTGTTTAATATATTTTATAAAGGACTTTTTTTTTTACTTTTAATGCATGTTTTTTTTTTTTTTTTTTTTTTTTTTTTTTTTTTTTTTTTAGTTTATTTTTTTGTCGTTTTACACATTTTACAATGTTATCTTTAAATTCGAATAAATATATATATAATTACAAGCTGACAGGGGCAAGTAGAAGACATAAAGTCTTATCATCAAGCCCTTTTGTGAAATAGAGAAATATAAAATTTCTAAAATTCCAATAATATAAAAAAGAGTTAAATTAAAAATTTTGAAAAAATAAACATACATTCAAACAAAATTAAAATAAAAATAAAAAAATTTAAAGAGTTTGAAATAAAGTAAAAAGATTGAAAAAAATTAAAAAGTTTAAAATAAATTAAAAATTAAAAAAAGTAAAAATTAGAAAGAAAAAAAAAAATAATAATAATAATAATAATAAAATCTCGAAATAAAAAATAAAAATGTATACAATGCGTAAATTAAAAAGTTTGAATTTTTTTTTACAAATCAGAACATATACGTATACATATTCAATACATAGCGAGGTATATATTCAAAAATATTTATATATTAAAAAGATTCCAAACGTTATGTAGATTTAAATTCATTTGTTAGTATTTATTAAAAAAAGTTAAAAAAAAAACAGTCAAAGAGAAAATCAAACAAGAAAGATATATATGTATATATATATATTAAAAAAAAAAAAAAAAAAAAAAAAAAAAAAAATAAAAAAAAAAAAAAAAAAAAAAAAAAAAAAGCTTTTTATCAAATTTATCAAAAAAAATATTATTTTTAAAAAAATGAAAGAATGTATGTAATGTTTGAGTTTAGTAAGTGTTTTTTTATAGTTCTTTTGAATATATCAATAGATTTTATTTTTTTCATATTTTCGTCAAGAACTGACTTCCACAAGCGTGGCCCCCGACATGTAATTGAGAAGTCAGATTTTTTGAGTGATGTTGATGGGATGTAGTAATTATTTATTGAGTGTCTTGTTTCATATTTATGGTTAATTAGAGAGAAACCTTTATAAAAATATTTTGGAATTAGTTCATTTTGAAGTTTAAACATAAATAACAAGTTATGGTATATATTTAGTTCGTATACGTTTAGCGCATTAATTTCCTTGAGTAACGGCTTGGCACTTTCGTACCTATCTGCGCCCAAGTTTTAATTAAGAAATATTTGATTAAATTTTTTAACAACTCAAATTTACATTTTATTCACCATATTACGTTGATTTGTTTTATGTATTTATGTTTTTTTTTTTTTTTTTTTTATTATAATTTGTTTATACTTTACTTTTAAAACTTACATTACAGATTCAGATAAAAGTAAAAATTAATAAAGTATAGTTCATTTATTTTGTTAAATACCGATTGGAAATACGCTTCTTAATTCCGCCCTTAATTTTATTAATTTAGGTATCAAAATGTATTAATTTAAGTATCCGGGGTCCAAATCCAGCTCTTGGCCATTTTTCGCCATTGGTTAGGTAGGCAACGTAAATGACCTAGTAACATGCTCATTTGTAGTGCTCTGCAATTAGGACATCCCAAGGCATATAAGATGAACAATATTAAAAAAAAGTAAGTATATCCATTCAAGGCTGGGGCGATAGGGAGTGTGGTCCTTCCCCCCTCATCTAATCAATTAATTTTTTGTTCATTTAGTCGGCACATTTGACTATTTTAGACTAGTCAGTGAGCAAATTTCAAAAAACAATGACGTTTCTTATTTAATTACAAAAATATTTTTAGGCGCATTATTATTACCCTGACACTCTGAAAGCCTACAAACAAAACGTTGTATAAAAGCTTCAACTGTTATGACGTTCTCTTAATTTAATGATTAAAAATCACTAAATGAAGCATTATTTTTTAGGTTTATGGTTATTACTAAGTATTTTTAAATTGCGCACGAACTATTTTTACCACACTTTGGTTTTAATACAGATTAAGTAAGTAAATTTTTAAACTTCTAATCAAGAACACTTTGGACTGTTTTGAAATATCACTGCAATATCATGCTTGCAGCAACTTATAAGATAAGTTTATATATTATTTTCGCATTTTAAATCCCATCGAATTAAACACAAAAAACTGCGTAACCTAAAGCAGTATAGTTTACCAAGCGCAATCAAGGTAGTGTAAACACAAATTTAGGTCACCAATTAAAAATGACGCAAAAAAACTTTAAATCCATGATGCACGTGCATTTATTTAGAAATAAATTTTAAAATGTGTCACAACGTAAAAAACAAGGCGTTTTATTAAAAAGATGCATATTTTAATTTTTTTCAATAATAAATGCAGGTGTTCCAATTAAAGCGCTGTCCGAATTATGGCAACTCTTCCCTATATATGCTTTTAAACAGTATTAAATTTTAATTTCTTTTTATAAAGGAGATTTTGACCTTAAATTTAATTCATCTTTCAATTTATAATAAAAAATAGATAATATTTAAGTAAAAAGAAACAATTTATTGATAACAATATTATAGTAACAAATTATCCACTTTTAATAAGAAAAACGCTTAATACTAAATTAAATAAATTTTTTGATAATAACAATGTTAAAACGTTTTTCGACACACTCTTGCTTTAGAAGGAACATGTTATTCACTTTTATTCTTTAAAAATAAAAAAAAATTGTAAAATTTCAATTAAATAATTATACAAATCTTTTTATTTTTGCTAAAACAGAATGTAATATTAAGTTTTGTTTTCATTGTGTCCGGATGGTTGATACCAAAAACTTCAGTTTGTATTTTCTCAACAAAATTATAAATTGCTAAAGTGTTATATTTTCATTATTTTTTCCCATATTTTTTCGTTACAAATTCGATAAATCTTTCCCTCGCGATATCATCTCTACAGCTCGCGATATCATCTTTTGTTTTCATTGTATCCGGATGGTTGATTCCTAAAACTTCAGTTTGTATTTTCTCAACAGAATAATAAATTGCTAAAGTGTTATATTTTCATTATTTTTTCCCATATTTTTTCGTTACAAATTCGATAAATCTTTCCCTCGCGATATCATCTCTACAGCTCGCGACATCATCTTTTGTTTTCATTGTATCCGGATGGTTGATACCTAAATATTCAGTTCGTATTTTCTCAATAAAATAATAAATTACTAACGCTTTGTTATACTTTCCCATATCACACAAACAGTTTGCGATATTATGTTTTATTTTTATTGCATCTGAATGGTTAATACCTAAAATTACAGTTTGAATTTTCCTAACAGAATAATAAATTTCTAAAGCTTCGTTATATTTTCCCACTTTTTTTAAACAATTTGCGATATTTTGTTTTATTTCCATTGTATCCGGATGGTTGAAACCTAAATATTCAGTTCGTATTTTCTCAATAAAATAATAAAATACTAACGCTTTGTTATATTTTCCCATATCACACAAACAGTTTGCGATATTATGTTTTATTTTTATTGCATCTGAATGGTTGATACCTAAAATTTTATTTTGAATTTTCTCAACAGAATAATAAATTTTTAAAGCTTCGTTATATTTTTCCATATGTTTTAAACAGTTTGCGATATTATATTTTTTTCTCATTGTATCTAGATGGTTTATACCTAAAATTTCAGTTTGTCTTTTCTCAACAGAATAATAACTTTCAAGAGCTTCGTTATATTTTCCCATATAGTACAAACAGTTTGCGATGTTATGTCTTGTTATCATTGTATTTGGATTGTAATTACTAAAAATTTTTGTTTGCATTTTCTTAACAGAATTATAACTTTCAAAAGCTTTGTTATATTTTCCAATATAGTACAAACAGTTTGCGATGTTGTCTTGTTATCATTGTATTTGGATGTATTTACCTAAAATTTCAGTTTGAATTTTCTTAACAGAATAATAAATTTCTAAAGCTTTGTTATACTTTCCCATATTGTTCAAACAGTTTGCGATATTATGATTTGCTATCATTGTATTTGGATGGTTAATACCTAAAATTTCAGATCGTATTTTCGTAACAGAAAAGCAGCTCTTTAAAGTTTCGTTATATTTTCCCATATTTTTCAAATAACTTGCAATACTATGTTTTTTTCTCAATGTATCTGGATGTTCGATATCTAAAATTTCAGATTCTATTTTATCAACAGAATAATAAATTTCTAAAGATTTGTTATATTTTCCCAAAGCGTCCGAACAGTTTGCGATACATTTTGCTTTTATTGTATCTGGATGGTTGATACTTAAAATTTCAGTTTGTGTTTTCTGAGAAAGATAATTAATTTCAATAGTATTGTAATATTGTATTTTCTCAACAGTATAATAAATTTCTAAAGTTTCGTTATATTTACCCATGTTGTTTAAACAGTTTGCGATATTATGTTTTGTTATCATTGTATTTGGATGATTGATACCTAAAATTTCAGTTTGTATTTTCTCAATTGAATAATAAATTTCTAAAGCTTTGTTAAATTTTCCCATATTGTTCAAACAATTTGCAATAATATGTTTAGTTATCATGGCATCTGGATGGTTAATACCTAAATTTTCAGTTCGTATTTTCTCATCGGAAAAACAACTCTCTAAAGTTTCGTTATATTTTTACCTATTTTCCAAACGGCTTGCAATATTAGTGTTTGTTATCATTGTATCCGGATGGTTGATATCTAAAAGTTCAGTTTCTATAATACCATCAGAATAATAAAATTCAAAAACTTTGTTATATGTTTCTGGATGGTTGATACCTAATTTTACACATTTTGATTTCCTTGAATTAAATCCCATGCAAAGAGTAACTTACTCGAACTCATGCAAATTGTTTGCGATAAATTGTATTCTTGTCATTGTTTTTGGATGGTTGATATTTGAAATTTCAGTTTGTGTTTTCGCAACAGAACAATAAATTTTTAAAGCTTCGTTATATTTTCCCATATTGTTTAAATAGTTTGCAATGTTATGTTTTGTTATTATTGTATTCAGATGGTATATTCCTAAAATTTCAGTTTGTGTTTTCTCAACACAATAATAAATTTCTAAAGCTTCGTTATATTTCCCCATAATGTTTAAACAGTTTGCAATAATATGTTTTGTTATCATTGTGTCCGGATGGTTGATACCTAAAACCTCAGTATCTATTTTATTAACAGAATAATAAATTTCTAAAGCTTCGTTATATTTTCCCATATTTTTCAAACAGTTTGCGATATTATGTTTAGTTCTCATTCTATCTAGATGGTTTATACCTAAAATTTCAGTAAGTATTTTTTCAACAGAATAATAAATTTTAAAAGCATTGTTATATTTTCCTATATTGTAAAAACAGTCTGCAATATTATGTTTTGTTGTCATTGTATTTGGATGGTTGATACCTAAAGTTTCAGTTTGAGCTTTCTCAACGGAATAATAAGTTTCTAGAGCTTCCTTATGTTTCCCCATAATATTCAAACAGTTTGCGATATTATGTTTTGTTATCATTGTGTCCGGATGGTTGTTACCTAAAACTTCAGAATCTATTTTATTAACAGAATAATAAATTTCTAAAGCCGCATTATATTTTCCCATATGTTTTAAACAGTTTGCAATATTATGTTTAGTTCTAATTGTATCTGGATGGTTTATACCTAAGATTTCAGAATGTATTTTCTCAACATAATAATAACTCTCTAAAGCTTCGTTATATTTTCCCATATTGTACAAACAGCTTGCAATACTATGTTTTGTTGTCATTGTATCTGGATGGTTGATACCTAAACTTTCAGTTCGTATTTTCTCAACAGAATAATAAATCTTTTAAGCTTCGCTATATTTTCTTATTTCGTACAAACAGCTTGCGATATCAAGTTTTGTATTAAACGTAAATTCATGATTTTTTCCATAAGTTTTTGTATTATATTTTTGAACAGCTGTTAAAATTTCGATTGCTTCTATAAATAAACCTTTACATAACAATAATTTTTTAATAGAAGTTGTCATTTGATAGAAAGATTTTGACATTTGCTTGTTATTGATACGAAAAACATGGAGAAAGTGAAAAACAAAAAAAGTTCCGTAATCTATGTGATCTTTTACTTCGCTCAACTCAAATTTAAAATAATTTTGGATTAGTTCAAGATAATTATTTGTAGTTGAATTTCTACTTTGAAAACATCTACATGACAACTGTGTCAGTTCGTGCATCGAATATATCTCATTATCAAGCGAATTTAATAAAGAATAACTAATTAGTAATCCAATAGCTTCATCTATTAAATATTCTTCGTTTCTTTTCATGTGACTTGAGATTTGAGTTATAAATTGTTTACTGATATTTTGGCCGTCGCAATGAGATAAACAGTTTAATATTTCAAATGGAATAGTTTTTTCTTTTTCTAATTTTAATAAAACTAAATTAATTGCTTTTATTGCAGACTTTGTTTCTTCTTCGGTTGGGAAGATATCAGTGTCTAATATTTCTAAGGGTTTTGATCTATATCGGTTTATATATTTTTCTATCGAAACTTTATGTATATTTATATACTTTATAGCTTGAATAATAGCAAACGGATGATAACCAAGTTCTTTAATTAAGTTTCTTATGCTTTCATCAGCGTTACCTTTAAGAATATTTTTTACATAAACGTAAGCTTCTTCCGAAGAGAAAACATCAACAAGCATTTCGTTTACATCGTTTGACCACGTCCTCCATTGTGAAGTAATCAAAGTAAATGAATTTGGTTTGTTTGAAATATACATTTTTAAATTTTTACACTTTCGTCGTCGACATTGTCAAAAATATACAAAGTCTTTTCATTCTTATAATAGTTGTAAATTTTTTCAACAATCACTTCTATATCATCTGACAAATATTATGCATTGAAGTTTGTAGCTTTCCAAAAGCTGAATCTACTCAAAAAAAATTTTTATAGTATTTAAAATAACTTTGACAATATTTTCTGGCAATGTGTGTTTTCCCGACACCCGACATTCCATTCAACACTAAGGTTGTTTTTTTTGTATCTTGTAGCAAAAACTGATGAATTTTGTTAAGTAATTTTTCGCGTAAAAATAAGTTTTCTGAAGAAATTTGAATACCAATTATTGAACGTACGGTTAGTTCTATAATAAAAATACATTTTATTTTCACAATTAAAATATGTGTAATATCATTTTTGTAGGCAAAAGTTTAGGCTTAAACTTCTCAATAGCATATACTTAACTGCTGGTGTGTTAAGTTATATTTGAAAAGATTTATATATATAATTTATGAAATATTATAAAACTATATTCGTTCTTTAAAAAAATAAATTTAGAAACAAAGTTTATCGTAAACTATTACAATTATATAAGTTTAAAAAACAGTTTAGAAAACAAAACTTAAATTTTATAGCTTTTAAAAAGATTAAGTTATTTCTCTAGAGAATACAAATAAAAATGAGTTTCATTTTGCGCACTTGGACTAAAAACTTTTTTTAAAAAAAATTTCTTAAGCTAAAGATTTATTTATATATTTTTTATATATATGAACAAATTCTTTAACTTTTTGAATTATTTAAAAAGTACAGGTTGAAAATCACTGAAATCGGAAACAACTTAATTCTTTTGTAGAACAACATGCGAACCCCAAAGAAAATTTAAGAGAACTCTTTGGTCGCCTAAAAAACTTTTTAACACGCGCGTTTGATTATCACTCAACAAAAATCTTTTGGCACCCAAAAAAACCCCCCACGGAGAGCTTTTTGACACCTCATTTTAAGAAAACATTTTATTTGACACTTGTATTTGATACCCATTTGTATAAATTTTTTATTGAATGCATTTATTTATGATGATGTCATCAATTGCAAAAATTTTGGACTTTTTTTATGTAAAAATTATCTATAAGCTTTTTATCAAATAACTCTGCATATATAGAGAGATTGTTGGAATAAAAAGTTTTTGTTAATAAGATTTGTTAACTGAATTTTACTTATGATCTGCATCCTTTTAACCAACAGTAAAAAATATTTGTTCATTAGCTTTTTATTAGTACGATAAAAGTTTTTTTTAAAATAAAGGAAGGTTATATATGACGTCATAAACTTTAAAGTTAACCAAATGTTATATATATTTAGCTAGCGATTAAGCCTTCAAATGCACCAAAACCATCAACTAAGCAACTTTTAGCTAAAATCAATCCGTCTTCAACTGATGAATTAAAAAAAAATATTCTAAGATAGCGAGATCAGCTGAAGAGAATTTATCAGAGAGTTTGACAGGCTTATATACATAGTCTAAACCTAAAAATGTTTGTTAATAGGGCAAACTTGCTAAAACTATAAAACAAACTGTTTACCTTCGTTCTAATGTTGTAGTTTTCAATAAAAAAATGATTTCAAAAAAATGCTTTAAAAAGCTAAAGCAAAAATTACTGAACTAAATCAAAAATTTGTAAATGAGGGTTCTGCGACTTAATTGTTGTGAAGAATAATATCTTGGTTTTGCAAAAATACAAACTTTTCCAAGGAAGGAGTTACTTTAAGACCTTTTATTGAATACAAAAACGTTGTGTAAAAATGTGAAAAACCCAGACAATTGATGTTTTGGTGGAATATTCATAGCGCACTATACCTAGTAGATAGGATTATGAACTTTGATCCTCCTCCTTTAAGGGTAAAACTACAATTAAAGCAAGATCAAAAAGTGCTAATTGCACGACAAAGTACAACCTGCACCTTGGAGAGCTACATTTAAATGGCATTAAATTTCAAGTAAAGGTAAGCGATATGACTATATTTGAGCAATAAAACCCAACTGTATCAATTAATGCGTTTGCATGGAGTAAAGATTTTTAACCACTAAATGTCAGCAATGAAAAGGGTAAAACTAATATCGATCTTTTACTTATTTAAGTGGATTCAGAAAAATCAGATTACGTATGAATTAAAAATTTAGTTAGTACGTGTTACTATAATAGTAATTATAAGGCAACAAAATCCCTTTGTTGTAGATATATTCTCTCGGGCTTACTGGAGAATCATAAAGAATACTGCTTGGGAATCGGTAAAAAAACTCAGCTGCCTGGAAAAGATAGTGATTAGATAGAAAAGAGACAATTTCAAGCAAATGCGAGTGTCTTATATCATCTACGCAGACTTTGAATACCTTAGTAGTCCAGAAGAAGGTACTTATGAATATCCAGATTAAGAATAGTTTTACATGCTTGATTACAAAACAGACACCTTGCAGTTATTATTATTAGATAAATGTTCGAAGTGATGAATATTGTTGTATAAAAGTTCGACTTGCTGAAGCTTCAAATTTATATCGTGGCGAGAATGTAGTCAAGAACTTTCGGCTAGCCTTCAAACTGAGTTGGAAGTAATAAACGAGGTTTTCAGGAATTCAGAAGATTTGATTACCAAAGCTGTTAAGTATTTTATTTCTGGTGAAAAACTTGGTAACGATAGTCCGTGACTTCTGCCACATCACAGAGAAAAACTGAGGCGCCGCACTCAGTGAGAGCAACTTAAAACTTCGTATTAAAGCATAATTTATTGACTGTTTGCAATTTACAAACTTATTTCTTGATGCTTTTGCAAAAAATTTTAAACTTGGTGACTTAAAATAAACTTAAGTCGGTAATCAGAAAAGGAGCTAGCCCTCCTGAAACGTAAGAATTTTTACCTCTACAAATATGTTGACAGTTTTGACAGATTTAACGAACAATGCTTGCCATCTCAAGAAGCATTAAACTCAAAGCCAATTAGGAGTGGAATTACTGATAAGGACTACCAGCACGCGCAAAATGTCTGGAACATTTTCGGTTGCAAAACATTTTTTAAAATACCATGTTATTTGTTTTTAGACCAACATGAAATTTCTATCAGTTGTTTTTGAAAATGTTAGGGAAATGTTAATGGTTAATTATGTGCTTTATTCAGCACACTACTTTAGTGCTCGAGGGATGTCATGGAATGCTCTGCTAAAAAAGAAAAAAGTGAGATTAGAGCTTTTGACTGCTACTACCATGCAGTTATGTTATGAAAAAGGACTTCGTTATGTGATTAGTATAGTTTCAAAACGTTTTGCCAAGGCAAACAACTCAGGATGTCCCGATCATGATAAAAGTAAATCAAATAGTTATATATCTTATCTTGGAGCAAACAATTTTTATGGTTGGGCATTGATGCAGTAGTTACCAGACTTTTAGTGGTGCTATCCATTAACAGAGGATGTTCTTGCAACACCTGATGATAAATCTTTAGTTTTTAATCATGAGTGTGGTATTGAGTATTCTAAGAAACTACATAATACTCATAACGACAATCCACTAGCTCCCGAAACTATGGAAGTTAAAGAAGAATAGTTAAGTAAATATCAAAAAAGTTTAATGGAGAAAATTAAGATAAAATTTGCAGAATTTCAGAGCCTAAAGATTTTTTAAATAAAGAATAATATATAGTGCATTATAGAAATCTTTATTTCACCCATCGTTAGCAATGAAAATTACTAAAATTTACAGAGCTGTCATGTTTAATTAAATGTCATGGATGCCTCCTTATATTCAGATGAATACTGATTTGATAGGAAAGACTACACCAGAATTTGAGAAGGATTTTTTTAAACTCATGAATAATTTAGTTTTTGGCAAAACTATGGAAAAGTGAATAAAAAGAATCAGAGTTGACCATGTTAGTGGAAGTGAGGAAGATTGATTCAGAAAACTTAATGCTGACGCAGCCTTAGTCATCAATTATTTGATTGTGATCTTACAGGATAAAAGTTAAGTTAAAGCCATATGTGGACAGGCTGTCCTCAATCTTTCAAAGTTTCTTCTAGTTATTGTTACTGACTTTGTTGATACTTTTAATTGGTAAAGATTTATATATTAAAACTCATCATTAATCTAAATAAAAGTTAGTTTTACTCCGAGAGTTTTTTTAAGCACTTGTTATAAGTAATGGTTTAAAACCGCAGCTAGCTTTAAAAAAGTTAATGCTCTCGAGCCTCTTATCTGTTACTATAAAGTTAAAACAGAACTGTTCAACAAACTCAAAATTATTTCATCTTAAGTTTTTAGCAAACTCAATTGCTTGATAATAGTTTGTTATAGAAGCTGGTGGTGGGCTTGAATTTTGTATTTTGAGGATAGTCTCACACATATATGAAAAACTTTATATACAACTCCTTCTTGTAGGAGCAAGAAAATCAGGAAAAACGGAGCTCTACCTGCTTAACTAACGGCCAGATGCTATGATATTTTTAATATGCCCAACCATTGGATGCAATGAAATATACAAAAATTATGAAAAAAATGTCTTTAATCTAAAGTTTGATGTCGTACCTTCTTTTAGGTTCAACCAATGAGGTATTCAATGTGTTTTAGAACTTATCAGCAAAATTATAGAAGGAGACAAGTGCATTTTCATTGTTAACAATTGTATTTGCAACATTGACATGGCTTTAAGTAAATCACAACTAACCGTCCTCACCATATCAGGCCGCCACATAAAGTATTTCTTGTAGCTTTTTGCTCAAAATTATACAGAGATAATTCATACAGAGACATAATTGTTCGAGACCAGCTCAAATGCATTGGTATACTACCACTAAAAGATGGGAAAAGCTTAGGATTGATTGTAGAAGAAAACAGTCAAATTATAGGTGGTGGGTATAGTATACCTATATTTTGACTGGGTATAGCATGGGACACCCAAGGATCCTATACTATACCCAGTCAAAAAATATACCCATACAATACCTTTGATTCTAACAATAATAAATTTAATTTTTCTTGGTGTTCTTATCTTAGTTGTTGTTATTAAATTATTTTACGAGTAAAATATATTATAAAAACGTATTTTACATATGTTTTTATGTGAAGAGCACAATGGAAAAAACAGCAGAGTCACATTTTTCACATTTTGAGAAAACCTAATTTAAAGGTTTGAAACCTTTTTATTACAAATTATGTGAGAAACTGTCAATTCTTTTAATTTTTAAGGGATGGTCATCCATTTAAGCATCAAATTTTAACAAATAAATATTCTGAAAATCATGTTAGCTCATGGAAAATTTTGTTTTTTCAAAATGTGTTCAGATGGGACTCCTGTTTTTTCCGTTGATTAGAACTTTGC